AAATTTGTTCAGTTATGATCAGTCGGATAACTCATACAAGTGAGCACTAAAATTAGGGACCTACCGGTTCATGTCTGTGTGAACACATCCGTCTGTGTTTTATTGTAATTAGCAGTGTCTCCTTGTACAGCATATATAAGAAGTGTACCTAAGGTCAGTTATTTAAACTGTTATGTTATTTCCATTACAAAAAGTATAAACGATATTACCTACTGGTCAGAAAGACTTATCAGTACCCCAACACCGACCCACCGCCACAACCCCACCCTAGGCCTACCCCATGGCACACCCGCTCCCTCGCACACACACACACACACACTCCCTAACATACATATCGCTCTGGCCCATAGACCTGATATTTGAACCTTTTAAACAGACATCATGTGTATGTCAAGAAAGACACGCACGTTATTAGTGGTGTTCAGTCATGGGTATCACTTCACCATGTGTTTCTAATTATCTCAGTACATTATGGCGTGGTCGGACGAGATAACGAACCCTATGTGAGAGTTATATTACAGAACCATTGAAATACATGTTAAAGTAGTGTCAATCTTGTAACACTCTATTTACCCATTACCAACCATTTACGCATGTACTAAATATATGACAAACCTAACCCTGGTCATACGAGATTTCAAGGGTATTGAAATGCATGTCCTACAATCACAAAATTTACATATTTTACACACGTTAGGAAACACATGCAAACAATGGCCAGATTTACACACCTGTGAAATACATGTAAATGAAGAGTTGAATGTTCGTTTATTTTAACACCCCTTTAAACGTGTTTAAATCTGACGGCCAGATGATACGTAGATTTCAAAAGTTGTTCATATGGAGACAGGCCACAGTAACCGCTCACCTGGACTACATTTCACAGACCATAGTAACTCCGCACCTGGACTACATTTCACAGACCATAGTAACTGCGCACCTGGACTACATTTCACAGACCATAGTAACTGCGCACCTGGACTACATTTCACAGACCATAGTAACTGCGCACCTGGACTACACTTCACAGACCATAGTAACTGCTCACCTGGACTACACTTTACAGACAACAGTAACTGCTCACCTGGACTACACTTTACAGAACACAGTAACTGCTCACCTGGGCTACACTTTACAGACCACAGTAACTGCTCACCTGGACTACACTTTACAGACCACAGTAACTGCTCACCTGGACTACATTTCACAGACCATAGTAACTGCGCACCTGGACTACACTTCACAGACCATAGTAACTGCGCACCTGGACTACACTTTACAGACCACAGTAACTGCTCACCTGGTCTACACTTCACAGACGACAGTAACTGCTCACCTGGACTACACTTTACAGACAACAGTAACTGCTCACCTGGACTACATTTCACAGACCATAGTAACTGCGCATCTGGACTACATTTCATAGACCATAGTAACTGCGCACCTGGACTACATTTCACAGACCATAGTAACTGCGCACCTGGACTACACTTCACAGACCACAGTAACTGCTCACCTGGGCTACACTTTACAGAACACAGTAACTGCTCACCTGGACTATAGTTCACTGACCATAGTAACTGCTCACCCAGACTACACTTTAGAGACTATAATAACTGCTCACCTGGACTACACTTTACTGACCACAGTAACTGCTCACCTGGACTACATTTCACAGACCATAGTAACTGCGCACCTGGACTACACTTCACAGACCATAGTAACTGCTAACCGAGACTACACTTCACAGACCATAGTAACTGCTCACCAGGACTACACTTCACAGACCACAGTAACTGCTCACCTAGACTACACTTCACAGACCACAGTAACCGCTCACCTGGACAACACTTCACAGACCATAGTAACTGCTCACTTGGACTACACTTCACAGACCACAGTAACTGCTCACCTGGACTACACTTTACAGACCACAGTAACTGCTCACCCAGGCTACACTTTACAGACCACAGTAACCGTTCACCTGGTCTATAGTTCACTGACCATAGTAACTGCTCACCCGGACTACACTTCACAGACCATAGTAACTGCTCACCCGGACTACACTTCATAGACCACAGTAACTGCTCACCTGGGCTACACTTTACAGAACACAGTAACTGCTCACCTGGACTATAGTTCACTGACCATAGTAACTGCTCACCCGGACTACACTTCACAGGCCATAGTAACTGCTCACCCGGACTACACTTCACAGACCATAGTAACTGCTAACTTGGACTACACTTCACAGACCACAGTAACTGCTCACCTGGACTACACTTTACAGACCACAGTAACTGCTCACCTGGTCTATAGTTCACTGACCATAGTAACTGCTCACCCGGACTACACTTCACAGACCATAGTAACTGCTCACCCGGACTACATTTCATAGACCACAGTAACTGCTCACCTGGGCTACACTTTACAGAACACAGTAACTGCTCACCTGGACTATAGTTCACTGACCATAGTAACTGCTCACCCAGACTACACTTTAGAGACTATAATAACTGCTTACCTGGACTACACTTCACAGACCACAGTAACTGCTCACCTCGACTACACTTCACAGACCATAGTAACTGCTCACCCAGACTACACTTCACAGACCACAGTAACTGCTCACCTGGACTACACTTCACAGACCATAGTAACTGCTCACCGAGACTACACTTCACAGATCATAGTAACTGGTCACCAGGACTACACTTCACAGACCATAGTAACTGCTCACCGAGACTACACTTCACAGACCACAGTTACTGCTCACCTCGACTACACTTCACAGACCATAGTAACTGCTCACCCAGACTACACTTCACAGACCACAGTAACTGCTCACCTGGACTACACTTCACAGACCATAGTAACTGCTCACCGAGACTACACTTCACAGACCATAGTAACTGTCACCAGGACTACACTTCACAGACCATAGTAACTGCTCACCGAGACTACACTTCACAGACCATAGTAACTGGTCACCCGGACTACACTTCAGAGACCATAGTAACTGCTCACCGAGACTACACTTCACAGACCACGCTAACTACTCATTAACTACGATTCTCGGGTCAGCGATCTTAGTGGTTTATAACACTTTACATTTTCTACCTTGATACAAAATCTCCCCTACACATAATTTGATGTATCCAGATTTAGTGCACTGGTTGCACACCTGATGACCTCGACACTGCACCTAGGCGTGTAGATAACAGTTCATAATTTCGGAAAATTCTTCCCGGTTCAAAGTGCATAACACGTACCCGCGAAATAACACGACCAGTTACGTGTTGATCTGCAGTCACTTTGTAGAATGCGTACACATGTTTAAACTTTCCACAGTATCGATATCACTGCAATTTATCAAAGTTCTTACCTCTCCCCTTTTTCGTTTCTCGTTTGACCTGTCAGATGATCCCAAATTACCGTACTTCCTCAATACAGTGTATGTATGTATTATTCGGACACTTTCTACCCATTAACTGTATTCAGGACGATAATAATGACTGGATCTAGGGATTAGTGCAGCTTTACCGAAATGCATGCTCTGTAGATACAGAGGATTGGGTAAAGAGTGTCTGAAAGAAATATTTGTGCTAGCGTTTATTCGAGGAAATGCGGTATAAGATAATATCACTCTTCTGGGCTTTTATTCCCAGTGTTTGCACTTTATAAACTGAAGAGACTGTTCCCACGTGCGTACCTTATACCGACACATGTTACAAGTTCCCGATACGCATATAGATAAAAGCGACAAAACCCTCTCTACATCGTAAGAAATCACTGCTAAACGTAAGAGTCGATTGTCGATGTTATGAGGATGTGTTTGTTTGTTTATCTCATCAATATTGCTGCTGTATGACAGCTATCTGTAAATAAGATCAAAGATGTGCTTATGAATCACTATGAGATAGTGGCGATACCGGGAGTTCGAACAAAGGTGAGCGTTTCCTGCCCCACCGGTATCACCCGTCATAAATGCATACAAAGGCTAGTCAACATTAGTCACCTGAAAGAACGTTCGGGAACGTACGGTATAAGTCAAAAGGTCGGAAGTGCATCAGAGATCACTTTCTGCCATTGTTGCTGATGTGTCAAACTTTGAAATGCCCTTCACATGTCTAGCATAAACGTTTTTGAAACCTTTACTGAGATCCTGAATGTTGTAACGTTGATCGAACAACTTCTGAGCATGCGAGGTACAACGCTTGTATTTCACCATGGAAGTAGTGTGTACATTATCATGAAAATACATGTTTACCATACAGCCATCATCCGTTGTTGCTCTTCCGTGTCAGTTGGGTGAGAACCGGATCTAAATGTAGAACTCATTTACTAGAAACTAGAGCTTGAAGAAGTCTGTAAATGTTGTTTCAAGAAGGAGTGAGTGAGGTGGGGTCTACGCCGCTTTGAACAATACTTTATGATATCATGGGGTGTCTGCTTAATGTGGGAGGTAATCCCGAAGTAATGCAGGTAACTTACGTTTACAACTTGTTTCTTATAAGATACCTTACTCTGTGAGAGTTGGTTCGAATCCCGTATGGGACTCGATCCAAAAGGTACTTGAATCTGTACTTAACTGAGAAAATGAAATCCCAAATTTGACAAATGTTACAACACTGTCTTAAATCTTTATTTACTTTGGTTACGAATGTCTGAAGAAGATAGTCAAGTGTCGAAATGACTATATATTTTACTTTTCAACCTGAAAATGTGTTTTTTTAAGTTGAGTTAAAAATACTTTCAAGTCTTAGTATAATTTTAGTTTTGTTTTTATCTAGCCAGTTAGTTCAAAGGCATTGATACACATGTAAATAAATGTTTTTCAAAGCAACATTGCATACACCCAACTCACTCACTCACTTAAACTGACTACACGTCGTGTGTTATATATGATTCCCCACACTCTTAATTTTAAATTCTATCATTGGAAATGATCCCCTTTCATTATCATACTGTCATTTTCACTTTTAATTCCACTGTTGCAGGTTCATCACAATGGCACGTGATAATTACGTTGAGGACCTCACCTTGAGGCTTCTTGAGCACATCCATGAGAAGGTGAAGGCCTCCGTCCGCCCTCAGGTCAACGTGGAAGAGACGGCCAAACAGTTAGAAAAGAACATTCGAAAAAAATTGGAAAAAGCCTTGAACAAGTCTCTGAATAATCTAGAAAGAAGGTTCTTCAAGTACGCAGAGTGTGTAGACGTCTCTGAAAACAGGCAGTTCAAACGGATCTCAAGGTTGATATCAAGGGCTGAGAACGACGTGGACGCCAACTTTAATGAAGGTCAAACACAAACGGGAATCGGTAAGTCATCCAACGACCATCGGATACTGTATATTCTACTGGAACGCGTCACAGGCTGGGGTTGTACAAAACAATTAGGATCGTTAACGATTGTCACAGAAAGTGACGATCACCTTAGCACTAAGATCCTTTTGCACCGTACAGCGTGAGAGTGTCCACTCTACGTGACATACTGTCAGGGTGAGAGAGAATACCTTGCTGACCCGGGTTGAGACCGATTGTCCCGGGTTGAGACCGATTGTCCCGGGGTGAGAGCGATTGTCCCGGGCGGAGGGGGGTGGGTGGGGGTGAGTGGTGGTGAGAGCGATTGTCCCGGGGTGAGAGCGATTGTCCCGGGGTGAGAGGGATTGTCCTTCAAGCGTCCAACCTACGTTAGTTAATGTGCGTGGGTTAGGTAATACGCTGTTTTCTTTCAATAACCCCTATCCTGCTTGACGCATTCCAGTTTCCTTGGGATTCCCAGAAATAAGAGCCAACAGTTTGTCAGCTTGTGGAACAGAGCCCTTGTTAGATATTAGATGTTCCTACGTAAATTCCGATAACAGATGACGAACCTTAAACATTTCTGCTGAGAGAAATAGGCTACATGGTTATTTATTGAGGCGATTGCAGCCATTAGAGCATGGTCATTAATTTAGGGCTACGCAGCTGACAATTTATCGCGTTGTCACAACGTTGCCACAACGTTATGCTTTCGTTGTTACAACGTTATTCTGTGGACTTCCATTGACGTTGTCACAACGTTGTGGCCTGACGTTGTGATACGTCATTTTTACGTCGCCGCAAGGTTTAAGTTATTTGATACCAACGTATTTTACGTTGTCTTTACGTTCTATTAACGTTAATGGTCGAACACTTTTCCCCAGTAGTGAACAGTACGCAAGAAACAAAGCAGAAGTTCACTTCAGTGTTTATCCGTCAATTTGCACGTTGTTTTGGTCGTGTGTTTTCTGAACCTGTAGCTGAATAGTGAAGAAAGAATCTCAAAGTGAAACGTTTTACAGAAAACTCTATCGTGACACCAAGTTATAAGAAACGTTGTTTTAACATTGTGAGGAACCCAAAGCATAACGTTTTCCCAACGTAAATGTGCAACGTTGTTATTACGTTGTGACATAACGTTATAAAATGACGTAATCAGTCATTTTCAGTATAAGTGCTCAATTCCTAAAAACTCACGTCGTCGCCATATACAATACATTTCCCGGTGAATGCTTGATTAAAACGTTACAATATATGATTGATTTAATTTAAAGTCCAAGATGGAACATAATAATGATCGTTAGTGGCATACTTTGCAATCCATATTTGTGAGCAATGACCCAGCTAAGAAGGAACTTGTGAAAATAGGAATGTCGCCAACAGGAGATGGTATATCGACTACGTTAGTGAGATGACATCCTGAGTTGTGGAAGCACAAAATCAATTTAGACAACTGTTGAGCGTTTTCCTAAATTTCTTTAAAAAATGAAATGTTCTCTGTCGCTGTTTTCATGTATTCTACGTTATGGACTAAAATTCAGCTGAAATTCAGCTCGAACTTGCAGTGAACATCTGTATTAGCGCATAGTTAGTGTTTTTATTTGTGGAATAACAGAAAAATATAACGCTTCATATCATATGGCGTCTTTATATACTTAAGTTTAACAACTTTCTATTTATATATAACCGTATGGTTAAGGATGTATTTTACGTCATGACCTTTTCTGGCAAAATGAAGAAAATAACACGCGTCAAATCATACTATGGGTTGGTTAGGTGCTAAGGATGCCACCAAATGGACAATTCTGCCAAGTCATGACAAAGATATCGGTTGGCTACCAGCGAACATCGTCATTGTATTTTACTTTATGTATTTTACGTTATACAATTATTGTCTATACATGATCAGCTATATACATTATATAAGGGGGTTAACTTGCCAAATATAGGTTGTTACATACATAAGTGAGTTAGCGCACTTGACAATACGATAGTACGATACGATGTTCATGTGATGAATGATGGTATAGCCTAATATGAACCTGGAAATTTGAGGAAATCTTTAAAGCTGTGTAAACGTTACATTTGCAATTTGCCGTTACCGACAAAGAGTGTTACCGGCGGGAAGTTACTTAGGTGTAGTCTATGCTAAAAGATAGTGGCGTGTAAGACCAAATGTTTCTTCCAAGAACATAAATGTTTTTTATAACGTAAAAAAAAATATTCATAGCGTAATATACAATCAAACCTACTATCGTCCTTATTAGATATTATACTACGGGCGATGTTTAGGACAGTGAATTTTATTCGAATACAATTCGAAAAGTTTACACATTTAATTGTTTAAACGACAGGTATAATATATTTGAATAAAATCATAAATTACAATTTTCGGACCATGATAGCAAGAAATTACAGTGTACGTTTGAATTAGATCTTAAAAATTCATAATCGTTGTACATGTATACAAATACGTGACCTTTGCACCATGCAACTTACAACCTCTTATTCCAACTTTCGATTTTTTCGAAAAACGTATTTGCAATTGTGCGCTTACATTGAGAATGAGTGAATACTAACGTTGTAACAACGTTGTGACATAACGTTATAAAATAGCGTTATACTAACGTTGTGTCATGACGTTTTTAATCGTTGCCAAAACGCTGCGTGTAAACGAACCTGTAAAGAAACATTGGCCATTTGGAAAAGGGTCATGATTGATGAATAACATCATGGATACCAATATACTCTTGATGCGCTTGAAAGTACAATGAGTATTTGTCGGCCTCCATTCGCTACATTTTAGCGTTAGAACATTGAGTGCTAGTTACTTCCGAACTGCTAACTGCTACACCCAAATGGCTCAGGGTGATTCAGTCATCCCTCGTAGGTGTGACATTTACCACAATACCGCTCATCCGGTCCTATAACTTATCATAAATTTGATTATTCAGGTATTAAGATGTTTTGCAAGCTCTAAAGTTTGTGTTTCACTTATGTTTGAAGATGAAACCAATTCTCAGTTGCAGGAAGAGGCGATATCCATGGACAACTGCTGAAGCAATGTTTATATGACCTTGTGGGCAAATTGGATCTTTTAGGAACTCAGCTCCTTGACATTCTACTTGGAAAACACATAATGTCGGACTCTGACGACAGGAGCATTCGAGAAAAGACATCTAGTCGTGCGAGGAATATCGAATTTGTGGATATTATATGTCACAAATTATCTCCAGATGAATTCAATGAGACCTTCCTTCCAGCACTTGAGATAGATCATCCACACTTGTTTACTATATTGGTAGAAAAATTGTCCGAAATAGAAGAGAGCTATGAAGAAAAACAGTGCTTATCGTGCAGTGTAAGAAGTAATGTACAGGTAAGTATAGATTTATATTTAACTTCGGAGTAAAGTTACAGGGTATACCCTACCTCTGTTACATTATTATCATAGTGTTAATAATCAGTCGTATGTAAAATACTAGGAATCCTTATTAATGAGCTTACGCCATAAAGCAGCTTTTACAGTTAATACTTAACAATTACAACACGACAAAAATAATAAATCATTTTGACTTAATTCGACTAATTAATGAATTTTTAATAGAGTGCTATTCAAAAATCTCGCGAAAAACAATTTGTCTTTTAAATATTTACTTTTCCTCAAAATACATGTTCATTTTTAATGTTTTGGAGGTTGTAAATGAATGAAAGTATGTTTAAAAGTATCTTGACAAACAAAATTGGGCGAAAATATTTACCTTTGCTCAAAATACATGGATTCTGAGCGAAACTAAACATTCTGCCCATGGGCCACTGTTCGCCGATGGATCGGCAAAGCGAGTTTTAATTTTGAGGGTTTTTTCTCATTTTGTTTCATGACACCAGCATGTTCGATGTGGATTTAGTTAGTATTACATAAAGTTTCGGGACGCATACAACCAAATTAGACACCACGTCAGTACAAAATCTAAGACAGGAGGAATTCTTCAGGAGGATCGCTATCTCAACATGCTCTGGTACAAGGTCGGCTCATCCACAACGATATTATCATCGGGAGTCTGACGTTCCTACAAGTAATGACTTTCAGCTGATTTCAGCTTCCTCACAAACTAGCCGAATATTTTTCTGCCAACATTGCTGAAGCATTTTGCTTGATGGAGCTGCCGGGAAAACATCTTAAGAGACATTTTTCTTCCTTGATATTAAGCACCTCTTATCCGTTGTGCATGTGAGGCTGCAGATAACACCACAGTGGGAGAGACGTTCAGAGACCTGGGCCCCGTTTCACAAAGCTCTCGTAAACCTAAGATCTCGTAACTTTTCTCGTAGCAACCGTACCTCCTATACTGTAGCATACACTTTCGACATTCGTATCACTATCATAGCAGTAGTATGGTAGCAGCACATTTCCGAGGTGACGTAACGTGACGCAACCTCGAAAATATGCTGCCACACTGACGTCATACTCGTATAACGTCACGACGATAGGTCTCGTGACGTCACGACCTACAAACGAAGGTAGTGACGTCACTTAATGATGACGCAACCTCGAAAATATACTGCCACACTGACGTCACGACCTACAACGACGGTATTGACGTCACGTGGTCATTGAACCGTCACAAATAGGGGAATGGTCATCTAGTACGTGTGCGTGCATGTACGCGCGTGTGTGTGTGCGCGCATGTTACACCTACTAATGACGTCACACAAACAAAAATGGAGACCATAAGAATCCGTCCGTCAAGCTAAATTCTCAATTGCTCTCAGACGCGTTTTTACCTCATAAATGCACCATTAGCGTGCCAATAATATTTGAGTTTTTTGAAGGAGGCTAGGGAATCTGTGCTGTCTATGTAAAGCTCTCTACAATACTAGACCGCAAGAAATACCTAGACACTCTTAATCACACGACCACCCCGTCTGTGTAAAGCTCTCTACAATACAAGACGGTAAGACGGTGATATTCTACATGAAACAAAATGTGAGGTAGAAAACGGCAAAACAGCAAGAGTAGTACGGAGTGTTACGTTCTTTACCTCGTATCGTAAACCCAATGCGGGAACGAATAATAATTTTGAAGGAGGTCTGTAAATGTCGTACTGCCAATGTAAAGCTCTCTACAATACTACGCAGCAAAACAAATGTAACAAGACACTCAAAAATAACACACCCTCCAGTTTATGTAAAGCTCGCTACAATACAACACGGGAAGGCGGTTATATTCTACCAAATACAACAAAGAAGATATTGAGTCGGGCAGTCTATGTAAAGCTCTCTACAATACTAGACCGCGCGAGCACCGTATCCTTCGTTGTTTAAACCACCCCAAAATATACCCACGAGGTAGACAACGTCAACACTTTTAACGTCAACACAACAGAGACTAGTAAAAACAACATTTCACAAATTTATTCGTAAATATGCACAACTACATATCTACTCACAAATCAACTCAGTTTACAACACAGTTCTCATGTCAGTATCAAACCTGACGGGGCACGTGATTTTGAGAAATGCGCTCGAAGGGTTGAACCTGTTGTGTTCAAAGTCTATATCGTCTTCTGCACACCATTTGCATAGTCTTAAACCACACCATGCACACACGAACTTGTCCGCCACGCCCGTATAAAAGAATTCTCTCCGGGCTAGCTGTCTTCCCTTTTGAACCATTTGTTCAGGCCAGTCCTGGAAAGAAACCATCCTGGCGTAGCCGCTGATCATTGTTTCGTGACAGTTATTCTGGCTTAAATCCGTCAGTAGCTTCCTGGGTTCCCCCATGTGTCTCCGCGTGTACCCGCAACTGTCTTTCACCGTTTCTCCTCTACTCTCCCTGTTGTGAAACGGTAATTTTGAATCCGTTACCACATTATCATCGCTGAAACGTTGGATACCATATTTCCCTTCCACCGACAAGGTGTCTTCGTTTCAAGAGTCCATTGATGGCGATACTTCTCCCTTCTTATTGAAGAAAAGTTTACATCTTTCTCCATCGCTCTGGTCATTATACGAATCGGGAACGTAGCAGCAGGACATCGTTGTACGGAGCACTCAAAATATACAACCTCGCTCTCGGGCAGGCGGCTTCCAACTAGCTACTGCGTGTCGGTGTGCGTGATACTCTCGTCACCATCAGCGGTTACGTGCAAAAAGAATAGGTGGCGTGACCTAAGGGCGCCTCGTCCTGCCATTGGACGGTAAGGGGTCAAATCCCGTTTCCTGGACATAATTATACCTATTACATCAAACACAGACGTTATCGCCGTGGGTACCTAACAGCATAAGCGCTAAAAGCCGCGCTTAACACCTCTTTGTATGGTTGCCTAGTAAGACCGGTTTTGCGACGAGATGGGGGCGTGGGAAAAAAAATTGAGAACATTCCTACAGCTCTATCAATAACCTAATTTTTCCCTCGTCAAAATCCATAGCTCTTAAAGTTCTTGAGTATACTCTTCTTGGCATTATCATACCATCTGAAAACCATGCAATCGTTTGCAAGTGTATTACTTTTAATGAAATGCCTAACTATATCGTCGTTAGAAATACCTCGAAATCGCCAGCTGCCGAAATATAAACAATGGTGACCGCAAGCTACTGACGACAGACTTTGTACACGAACTCTGTTGTAGGAATAATGCAAACGACCGTATTTTGTCACAAAATCGTGAAATTCGGGCCATATTCGCGTGTAATCTATACCGTACGAGTCGTGCATGTGTAATCTACCGGGTGCCTCTATGCTTAAAGCGAGCCAGTGACTTCCCGGTTCGCTTTTTCTGTCCGTGTTGCAAATAAGCAGTATAGGATATTTCAGTCTCTTCATCCCGACTATTTTATTACAACACACCTCTTCCAAAGTATCTCTGTTACTTATAGTTGTTTTTAAGAAAAGGCTCATTACGTCCAAACTATTCCAAATCTCGTCCGTACAGCATTTTAGAAGGCTATGTAACTCGTCCCTCGTCTACGTCAGTGTATAGCGGCATTTCTAAAATGGTCCAATTCTATTACGCTGTCCAGCTCTCTATAACACACTAACGTCAGAGCTTGGGGCGTTGGCTGCGAAAATTTCAATTCTATGCCGACCTTACCAGAGCTCTTCTGATACACGTGTGACATGTCAGCACCCAAATCGTGCGTTAAATTGAACACAAACAAAGTAGTGCCATCTAAACACTCTTTGAGAGTCACTGTGTGCGTGGAATTTCTCCCCAGCCCCCCTGTATTTCTAAACAGCTCTAGGTATGTCTGACACATCCGTGTAGAGTCGGGTTCGAAATTGACGGTATGACATCTTTTGCCTACCTCCTGACTGTTTACTTTAACGGCTATTTCCGTCAATCCAAAAGGTTGGAAATTAAAAGGATTTTTGTTCGAAACCCCCGCAAAGGATTCGTTGTCAACGAGACTGAGTACTATTCTCTTAGGAATGTTTATTAAATGTTCGGAATTATATTCTCTCAGGCCTTGGGGAATATCGTGTGCCGTAGTTTTCACCTGGGCTATGGGATATTTCACGGTACTTCCACGCGTCAAACCTCTAATATGGCTATCTCTAATAGCTGGTGCTACGTTTACTTGTCTGACATGAAATTCGGCTGAGAGTATATGGCAAGCATAACCGGGTATGCGAGTACCGGACTCGTCCGTAGTGGAGTGTAACATATAGAAGTTATTTGGGCTACGTATCAACACGATTTTTAAAGGTACCCCGTCTATGAGGTATCTATGCTGCATGAACAAATCAGAGTGTAATTTTCCAACGAGTTCTAAGGGTCTGCTGGGCACACATTTTTGCCGTCGTTTCGCGAATGCGGGGTTGGAATCTTCATTGCCTAGAGAAAAGTTATTAAAACACCCTGCCTTATCTTTACTGAAATTCTGTGCTACCAAATTGTTGTCTATTTGCGATTTATCGCAGCTTAGTAGTATTTCTATGTACGCTCTGTACGGGTATGTACCCAAACTGTCTGTTAATTCTAGTTGATTAGAGCCCACTATTACTCTTACCTCCCGAAATAGACAATGTAGAGTATTTGTCATGGGGGCGCACACGTCCCTACGTCTAGTCACCGTCTAGTCACCCATGAGCGCTCATCACATTGTCAGCGACTGTAGCACGACCATCCGTCGTCTTAAATTCGCATACAATTCTCAGGTAACATTCGGCCAAGTCTACGCAGCTGTTTATAGGGTTATTGATATCAAACCTTATGGTGCCGTCCAACTGCCCGAGGCCTGTAATGGGACTATATTTGGTCCAGTGAGAATCCGTCATCGTGGAAACCATGCCCGGTAATGAAAATAAATCCAGTTCGCTTTTACCGCATTGCGCGTGTTCCATATCCCTCGACATCGTGATGGATGCTATATCTC